ATGGCTAAGTCGATACTTAAGTTAAACAATATCAACACATATGCGCCATTTCGCGTCAGTATAGATAATTGGCAACTTATTCCAACACTATTCCGCGCCCACGTTGTCGATGCTTTGGGCCAGCTGGTGTTGAACTCTTTTTCAGGATGACATCTGTACAATCATGGTCTGATCGCCGGCTACACCTCTATGTGAATATCCCTTTAACCGACAAATAATGGAGCGTAGTACCATCGAAGTTAAAGCACACAAAAAAAGGACTTGTCACCGTCGTCTTTCCCTGACTTATATGGCTTCTAAAAGCAAGCACTTCCAGCAAAGTCTGAAACAGCTGCACATTCATGTAGAACTCATCCAGACTACGCCCGAAACCTTCATCTGCGACGGATCTGAGTAAGTTGATATATAACAGGGGGAATTCATTTTAAAGTATAATGTGCCGCCTGCCGCGGGCCTCCTATCTGCCCAAGATGACGTTCTTGCTCATCCACAGACTCTCTTCTTCTGTACCACGTGTGCGCTTAGAAAAATGTGCCGTCACCCAAGTTCCGACAAAGAGAATCTTTTAAATACTCGCCCACCGGTTGGGCCTTGGACAGGACTTCCGGTATCTACGAACGGCTGTACATCCAACATCAGATATGTTGATGTGAATAGTGGCCTGTTGTTTGTATATTCCATCAAGAGCAAAGACAATGCTGCCGCCACACTTGACATGTTTTATACCGATATCGATAAAGACGATCTCGCCAAAAATGCGAAAGCTCAAGTGTGATGGAGGTGGAGAATTCGTCCCCAAGAAATTCAACGCTAACAATTCAGCAAAACATCAAGGTGATCCATGTCCCCACCATTTTCCCACCATTGCACGACCTCGTAGAGCGCAAAAAAAGCAGCATCAAGCTCATTATGATGTACATGTTCAACACTCGAAGCAGCCAAGTTCAATGTGGGCTGAAGCAATACAATTTGCCACACTTACCAAAGCTATCCAATATTATAGAGGCAATCCAGACAACGAATCGTCCTGGGATGCCTCTGGGGCGTTGGCTAGTCCTGAAGCTTGTCTACGTTATATGCATGTATATGGTAGTCAGGTAGCCTTTATTAATTACACGACCAAGAAGTAAATATTGACGACCGCGTATCTCTGGGCGTGTACATAAAGCACGATCGCCAATCCAAATATGATCAGTTTCGAATGTACAGAGCAACAACTGGACGTATTTGTCACTTTAATTATCGGGACAGGTAAAACCCTAAATGTACATGGTTTACAATGGAAAGTGACTAAATGTACATCCAAATTTACGGGTACGTTTTCTAACTACCCAATCAAATTCGCTATATGTAATATTCTATACCTTTCTCAAGCTTGTTTCATATAAAGTTTGAAAAGTACATTTAGGGTCCGCCCGTATAAACGAGAAATAGTTTCACGATTTAGTTCGTTCGCTAGAGTTGTGGACCAATGAATACACTGGTACGAATTTTGGAGAAGAGGAAGATGCATATTTTTCAGGTCAACTTTTTGAGGGTCTGGGACCCTCGAAAACTTTTCACTTCCGCTTTGAGTTTTACGTTTTAGGTCGAAATAGTACATAAACTCACAAAATGGGCTTGAAAACGTACAATTTGGGTGGGACTTCGGGTTACATTTCATTGGCTACACCAGGCCCGCTACAAAGCCAAGTACAACGGACAGTAGCTTGCGTGCACACAACCACCTTATTTGTTTGTGTTTGTGCTGTGTTGTGACACACATACTATCAAACAATGTATAAATGTAAAGAAATATGACACAATAGTATTTACATCAATAGTTTTAAAAAGAGTGTATCCTTTAGCAAGCGATTATGGCGATGGGGTCCGATGCATCGTATGCATCGCATGCATCACATGCATCACATGTCGAGCAAACCAAGGTCGCATACAACACGGCCGGGACTGTATCGAATAGTAAGAAATGATACAATCAGCCTCGCTAGACTATGATTGTGCCGGCGAGGGAGACTGTTCGATCTTTACAGCATATATCCAACAGCGAACGTAACCGTCAAGCAGCACGCAGAACAGGGGTTGATGCTAGCAGAAGTGAGCGAGCTAGTTACGACCCGTTCATGATGGGACAGACATTAGACTTCTCTCCAACGATAGTGTAGTGCAAAGTAATGTTCATGGTCCGGACGCGAGCAGCGACGATGGAGAATTCTGTGGCGCACCCGGCAATGTTGGTCACCAAACTACTCATGGCGAATCGCACAACACAAACTATCGTGCATCACACAACACTTACTACCACAGTACACCAAATCAAATGGGTAGAGAAACAAGTTCACGTGCATCTCATAACCCTTATATCGGCCACAACGAAGTGGAAGACTCTGGTGTAGGCCTATTCAGATCAGTAGGACAAAAAACGAGATGTTGAACATTTTAGTTGGTGAGAGCATGAAGTAGGTGGGTTTGATGTAGGCGAGCGTGATACAGAAGAGCATTGAGGAAATTCGTGAAGTAGGAGATCACGATACCGGAGAGTATAACGAAGGAGAGCATGATAGTGGAGTGTACGATACAGGAGAGTACAATGGGGAAGAGCATGATAGCGGAGTGCACGATACAAGATTGCATAATGAGGGAGAGCATGATAGTGGAGTGTACGATACAAGCGAGTATAATGAGGGAGAGCATGATAGCAGAGTCCACGATACAGAAGAGCATAACAATGCAGAAGCACCTATACTTTATCAGCCGTTGCACCAGCTACTAGCGCACCAGCACTAAGTGCATCAGCCGTTGCACCAGATACTATCGCACCTGCATCGGTCCCTGCACAACTACCCCTATCTGCATTGCGAACGATATGTCCAGACTATGATTTGTTCATGAAAGTGAATTTGTGGTCTGAGTACCAACGTCGTATGAAGTTATATAATAATTGTGTTGTAATCTCCACACGACTTGATATTGAATCGGGTAAGTGTGTTCCCGATCAACTGTCTAAAACGTATGCATGGGGTGGGCCTCCTTCTGACGCGCCGAAACCGACATTGATCACTGTTCTTGAGGACGGTGACAAAGCACACATATCACTTGGATTTGCCCTGCATTGGCAGCAGGTACCTATGTCTTACGACCCGATCGACAAGAGAGCACGGGCCTCAAACAACAACAAGAAGGCAGTAACGAATGCGACCACTCTAGTCAAGGGCAACCAGGCAATTCGGCGTTCACTATCCAATATTTGCAGAATGCTGGCGATGCTAAACGATCCAATACATCTACCACTATTCAGGGCTACCAAAAGTGAACACAAGGACAGGGCAATGTTGGAAAACGGTCAGATCAAGTGGAAGTACCCATGCTGGGTTTTATTGGGGAAGGACTGCAGTGACCCCGATTATCACTATAATCGCAAAGAGGTCGAGGCGGCGTTGACAGCAGGTGATAAATCATCAACTGTGACCCAATCAAAGATGTCCCAGTTGCCAATACGGATGATTGAAATAACGATCTAGCGAAAATTGCTACAGAAGAAGTGCCGAAAGAAAATACCAAAAAAAAATCGTGAATGAAGTCAGAAATGCCGATCCGATGTATACGGCGCTTGTCTATGCGGTGCCTGCGTCGTGCGCCGAGGAATTGAA